TGACATTATCATGTGGGGTGATACAGCAGAAGAGGATTTTGAGAAAGGGAGGAAAAGAATCCAAATCCTGCTAAAAGCCGGTTCTGCCATAAAATAGAGTAATTTCAAGGGACCTGCACAGGAGGTTCAATGTTTGTGAATAAAATGGCAGGATGTACATTGCCATATCCCCATAGATGTGATCAAAAAGATAACAGCAATGTCTCCACCAAGTAATAAGAAGCACCAACTTTCTTGGGTGTTGTGGGGTTCTGGAGAATGCTCATACCAAATTACAGTCTGATTGTAAGCCCTCTCTATCATGTGAAATGGAAGAAGAATGATTTTAAATGGGGCCCTGAGCAAAAAAAAACCTTTGAAGAAATTAAACAAAGACAGCTCCTGTAGTAGCCCTTGGACCAGTCCGGACCAGGCCAGATGTAAAAATTTTGCTTTACACCACAGCCGGGGAGAATGGTCCTACCTGGAGACTCTGGCAGAAAGCTCAAGGGGAGACTTGAGGTCAACGTCTCGGCTTTTGGAGTTGGGGATAAAGAGGATCTGAGGCCAGCTATACCCCAATTGAAAGAGATACTGGCAGCCTATGAAGAGGTTTGAGCTGCTTCAGAAGTGACTGGCACTGAAGCACAGCTCCTCCTGTCAACCCAGTCAACCGTGCTGAGCTGAATGTTCAAAGGCAGGGTTACCTCTACACATTATGCAAGCGAGGATACATGGAGTAAGTGGGCTACACTAATCACACAACAAGCTCGAACTGAAAATCCTAGTCATTCAGGACTTCAAGAAATCATCACGGACTGGCCAGAGGGCAAAGATTTTGGAATAGTCACTTGAGGAGGAAGAAGCCCCACCATGTAATAAACTGTCAGAAAGTGAGGAACAATATGCCTTGATTACTGAAAGGTCCTGCCCTATTGTGGGAAAGCATTGGAGATGGAAGGCAGCTACATGGAGTCCCCTGTGACAAGTTGCAGAACCTGCTGAACAAGAGGGTGAACAGAGTCAGTTTGCAGAGATGAAAGCCATCCAGCTGGCCTTGGACACTGCTGAATGAGAAACGTGGCCAGTACTTTATACTGACTCCTGGATGGTGGCAAATGACCTGTGGGGGTGGTTGCAGCAATGGAAGCAGAGCAACTGACAAGGCAGAGGGAAATTCATCTGGGCTGCTTCAGATGGGTCCTGAAGGAGCTGGCAAATGAAGTTGCTAAGCCGCTGGCCACCATATCTGAGAAATCATGGCAGTCAGGTGAAGTTCCCGACAACTGGAAAAAGGGAAATATAACTCCTATTTTCAAGAAAGGGAAAATGGTTGACACAGGCATTTACAGATCAGTCTCACCTCTGTGCCTAGCAAAATCTTGAAGCAGATTCTCCTGGAAGGCATGCTAAGGCACATGAAAAACAACAAGGTGCTGGGTGACAGCCAGCATGGCTTCACTAAGGGGAAATCCTGCCCAACCAATTTGGCAGCCTTCTATGATGGGGCTACAGAACTGACGGACAGCGGTAGAGCAGTTGATGTCATCTACCTGGACTTGTGTAAAGCATTCGACACTATCCCACATGACTTCCTTGTCTCTAAATTGGAGAGACATCAATTTGATGAATGGACCACTCGGTTTATAAAGAACTGGCTGGATGGCTGCACACAAAGAGTTGTGGTCAACGGCTCAATGTCCAGCTGGAGACCAGTAAAAAGTGGTGTCCCTCAGGGATCGGTGTTGGGACCGGTTTTGTTTAACATCTTCGTCGCTGACATGGACAGTGGGATTGAGTGCGCCATCAGCAAGTTTGGCGATGACACCAAGCTGTGTGGTTCGGTTGATATGCTGGAGGGAAGGAATGCCATGCAGAGGGACCTTGACTTGCTTGTGAGGTGGGCTGATGCCAACCTCATGAAGTTTAACCATGCCAAGGGCAAGGTCCTACACTGGGGTCAGAGCAATCCCCGGCACAGCTACAGGTTGGGCAGAGAAGAGATTCAGAGCAGCCCTGCAGAGAAGGATTTGGAGGTGCTGGTCGATGAGAAAAAGAACATGAGCCAGCAGTGTGTGCTTGCAGCCCAGAAAGCCAACCATATCCTGGGGTGCATCAAAAGGAGTGTGACCAGCAGGTTGAAGGAGGTGATCCTGCTTCTTTATTCTGCTCTTGTGAGACCTCACCTGGAGTACTGTGTGCAGTTCTGGTGTCCTCACCATAAAAAGGACATGGAACTGTTGGAACAAGTCCAGAGGAGGGCCACGAGAATGATCAGGTGACTGGAACACCTCCCATATGAAGATAGGCTGAGAAAGTTGGGGCTGTTCAGCCTGGAAAAGAGAAGGCTGCGTGGAGACCTCATAGCAGCCTTCCAGTATCTGAAGGGGGCCTATAGGGATGCTGGGGATGGACTCTTCATTAGGGACTGTAGTGATAGGACAAGGGGTAATGGGTTAAAACTTAAACAGGGGAAGTTTAGATTGGATATAAGGAGGAAATTCTTTCCTGTTAGGGTGGTGAGGCACTGGAATAAGTTGGCCAGGGAAGTTGTGAATGCTCCATCCCTGGCAGTGTTCAAGGCCAGGTTGGACGAGGCCTTGGGTGATATGGTTTAGTGCGAGGTGTCCCTGCCCATGGCAGTGGGGTTGGAACTTGATGATCTTAAGGTCCTTTCGAACTCTAACTAATCTATGATTCTATGATTGTGGCAAGATATTGCTGCCTGGGTGCAGAACCTGGTGGTGAATGTACGCCATGTAGATGCTCATGAACCCAAGAGTCAGGCCACTGAGGAACACCAGAACAATCGACAAGTGGATAAAGCTGCTAAGATTGAAGTGGCTCAGATGTATTTACATTGGCCTGAGTTGTCACGAGACCTCAGCGCTAAAAATAATTCACCCTTATATTGCCATCAGGGCACAGATAAACATACAGGTGGGCTTGTGATCAAGGGATAGACTTAACTATGGATACTGTTGTTCAGGTAATTGACGAATGTGAAACACGTGCTGCAATTAAGCAAGCCAAATGGTTAAAGCCTCTTTGGTATGGAGGACGATGGCTGAAGTACAAATATGGGGATGCCTAGCAGATTAATACTATCACACTCCCACGGAAGTGCCAAGGCAAGCACCATGTTCTTACCATAGTGAAAGCAACCACCGGATGGCTGGAAACATACGCTGTGCCCCATGCCACTGCCTGGAACACTGTTGCGGGCCTTGAGAAACAAGTCTTGTGGCAACACAGCAAACCAGAAAGAATTTAGTCAGACAAAGGGACTCATTTCCAGCATAACCTTATAGACATTTGGGCCAAAGAGCATGGCATTGAGGGGGTATATCACATCCCCTACCATGCACCAGCCTCTGGGAAAATCAAACGGTACAATGGGCTGTTAAAAACTACATTGAGAGCAATGAGTGGTAGGACTTTCAAACACTGGGATACACGTTTACCAAAAGACACCTGGTTGGTCAACACCAGAGGATCTGCCAACATGGGTAGCCCAGCCCAGTCAGAAATTCTACGCACTGTAGAGGTGGATAAAGTTCCTGTGGTGCACATAAAGAATTTGCTGGGGAAGACAGACTGGGTTATTCCTGCTTCAGGTAAAGGCAAACCTACTCATGGGAATGCTTTTGCTCAGAAATCCCAATATACTTGGTGGGCAATGCAGGAAGATGGGGAAGTCTAGCGTGTACCTCAAGGGGATTTAATTTTGGGGTAAAACAGCCAATTACCTCAATTTTATGCTATTACCTGCTATAAAAGATTTCTACAGCCCATCAGCTAGACGCCTTCAGGTCAGCAGCAGCTGGCCCTGACTTCCCTCCAGTTATCATCCCAACAAAGAATAAACTTTGACGAAACCAGACAAGCTCAGCAGTGAACAGATGAGTTCCGTGGTTTGAGCATCAGGCAACAATCCAACATTGCACAGTCTCTCCTGCTCTGAAAGACTATTACAAGAGATGAAGCCTGGATCATGGATCATGGATCCATGGATCAAATCATGGAGCCTGATCATGGATCATGGATCAAATGACTTCAGCAGCTTTACAGGGATTGGTCCATGGAGTAAGGAATGCTATCTGTGTGTGTGTGGGGGGGGGGGGGGTTGTATATGTATGTGTGTGTGCGTATATATGCATGAGGCAAAAGCAATGGTATATTAAAAAATGTGGGATCTGAGCATGATGTGAATGGTATGGAATAAGGGGTGGATACTGTCCTGGGTTCAGTAGTAGCAGTCATTTTTGTCCTTAGTAGCTGGTGCAGTGCTGTGTTTTTGACTTTCAGCCTGGGAAGAACACTGGTAACACTGATGTTTTCAGTTGTTGCGAAGTAATGTTTACTCCAATCAAGGACTTTCTCAGTCTCATACTCTGCTAGAGAGGAGAGGAAGCCAAGAGGGAGCAGAGACAGGACACCTGACTGGTGTTACTGACTGGGCTTAAACCATGACATGCCCTAAGTCAAATTCTAGCCAGTTTTGAGCTTTCAGAGAATGGATTGCCATATAAAACCTCCCCTCGCAAAATAAAAAAATCTTTACTTCCCCTGTCCAGGAATATTTTTAGTTTAAACATCCACACTCCAACAACTGTTCTGGTTCTCTCACTGGCAATAAACATCACTGTGGCTGTCATCAAATACTTATCATTTCCAGTTCAGAATGCCTGGGGCCTTACACTCTCCTTTAAGCATCAGACACCCTGAGTTTGGCATCACACATTTGACATGATTTCCCAAGTCTGGGATCAGAAGTAAACCATCTATCAATAATTTAGTAGTAAAATAATTCTGGAAACAATGTTAAGTGTGACGGGAATGCCAGTATCAAAAAGAAGCAATTAAATAATCCAAGCAGTAAATTTCTAGTATCAGGTGGAATACCACCACATTTAACAATACTGATTTCTGTAAAGGTACAAAGTATTCTGCTGGGCTTCTTTTATTTTCACCCAGACCGGTGTAATTACTTACCATCAAATGTTATACAATGCAGTCACATGAACACACACAGAACAAATCCAGTTGTGTTGTATCACAATAAAATACTAAGTAATGAGAGAATAACATCAAGCTGTGATAAAAAGTAATTAATTTAAACACAAACTCCGGATAGAGTTCAATAGTTTGGAAACTGCAGTCCAAACCCAATAAACTGCATTTCCTTCAAGCAACAGTTTAAATGTTAAGAAAGGAAAAAAGTCTAAAGTAAAAAAAAAGGAAATGACCACTTTCTGAATATGATCAAGACTCAAATGTTATTTATATCCCAGCAGTACAACTTCTTTGAAGAATCAAGTTATAAACAGGCTTAACAGAAGCCCTGGAGTTGTGAAGTTGCAAGAGCTTAGTTCTTTTTTAAAAGACTGCACATTTGGGCACTGTCATCTGTCAAGGTCTGTCACTTCATTGACCAGTTTAAAAGATACATGCAGTTAGATCAACGTGGACCTAATAAATTATTGAAAATATGCAAAACAGCCTGCAATAACAAGTCTAATACCTGATTTCTTGGCTGTACTTTGCACTCCGCCAGAACCAGGACTCCCAGGAGAGCCAGTCTTTTTGCTCAAGAGACTGTTAAAGAAACTAGCCAAGACACCTTCACTTGTAGCATTACCTGAGTAAAATAAAAAATATATATATATATAAAATCACAGAATAGTTATTGTTGGTAAATGATATAACTTACTTCTTACATACATACATAACTCTTACCAGTCAAGGAAATAAACCTCAAATATGAGAGTCTCTCCTTGCTCAATTTAAAGACACTATTCCTTTGCATTCTTTAGCAAAGTCAGAGATGACTGAAAGCATATTACTACTCTTCAGGAATGGGCAGCTGTCAGAAAACTTTAATCTATTTGCATGCTTTTGGATTTTTCTAAATGTAGTAGCTAAGAAACAAAGTATTAAGTATGTTTAGGCAACTTAAGGAAATAATGTATTCTGAACTCCGACTGCTCTATTTCAAGTCACATGAACGACAAAAAAAGAGGAAAAAAAAAAATCAAACCTGAAGCTATGTCATAAATTCCTGTTATTAAACTAAGCCAAAATATTTCTACAAAAGAGGATTTAAAAAAAATAACAAAACAACACAAGATAAAACCAGTAAAATGCTTATTCATACTTTTAATATTTGGATCTGGTTTCTTAACTGATGTTATTGGTGAAGCACTGGGTACATTAGTGGGACCAGCTCTGCCTTGAGTTCTTGGGGATCCTGCAGGGCCTCTTGCAGAAGATTCCTTAAAACAAGTCAAAAATCACACAAATTAGAGGACTTAAATGGAGTAATTATATAAAGCAAACGTAGCACTACACACAAATTACTTTTTTTTTAAACCTTTATATTAGCACCGTAGTGTATGCACAATGGGGAAAACAAACAAAAAACAACACCAGTTATTTTCAGCATGTTCCTCCCCTAGAAGAAAGGATGGAACACAGTAGGAAGTTTTCAGTTCAGTGATCATCAGTTATTTCTATGTTTCCACAGTGAATTAGAATGAAGTCATTTATAAGCAACATTTTAAGATATTGCCACCTTTTCTTTTTTTATTTCCTGCAGTTTTGGGGAGGTTATATATTACACACTTTCATTTACAAAATGAACCTCTACAGGTTATAACCATTCCCCTCTTCCCTAGAAAGAAAGAGAACACCTCCTGCTCTTCTCTTAGATCTACTTACTGATGCTCTTGTAGGTGTTGTTGGCTGTTTGGCAAGGAATGACTGCAAAACCAACATATTAAAAATAAATATATTTAAGAAAATATAAAGGAATAAGATACAGTGATATTTGACATTTTTTCCAGATATTTACAGGCTTCCTCTTTGATATCTAAATACTTACAGACTTTACCACTAGAAAACAGAGTTAAAATGAGTAAATAAGCTTCAGTCCTTTGTCTTACACAGCTGTCCCAGAACTATAAACCAGAACCACAGACATCCAAGTCTGTAACCCCTACGACATTTAGAATCAAACATAAAGGGAAGTGTTAATAGTTTTTTAAACAACAGAGCAGTAAAGAAAATGGCAAGATACAGCATAACTAAATTTGACACCTTAAAGTCTTTCAAATGTCTGGCTGTAAGAAAACCACAACACTGAAATGTTTTAAAAGTATTTATATTTTACAGATGAATATAGCTGTATTGCAAAATTTAAAGTTATCTTCTTGCTCTTCTCCTTTGAAATGTAAATTATTTCTGTTCTCAGCATATTTTCCTTTCAAGTTGCCAAGATACACAGCCATGTTTCTACCCATATTTCTTAAAAAGTCTTATTTCATAATTACATCTGAATTTACAAAGCTGAAAAATGGCTATCTAGTGATTTAAATGAGGAATGAAAAACTGAAAGCAATAACAATGGAGAGCTTAAAGTGAAATCTTATTTAGTAAGGATTTATTTCATTCATCCATTCTTACCTGCTGCTTCATAAGAAATACTTGTTCATCTTCTGCCACCAGCTCTTTTTCGTGGACTAACTGTGGAACAACATATCTTGTTATTAGAGGTAAAAACTGAAACTACTGTAACTGTTTTTATGGTTTGGTGATGAAAAGGGGAGGAAAAAAAAAAGGCAAGTCTTTAATACTATTGAAAAAACCCACAACAAAACAGTCCTGGGTTCAGCAGTAGCAATCACTTTTTCTCCTTAGTAGCTGGTGCAGTGCTGTGTTTTTTAACTTTCAGCCTGGGAACAACGCTGATAACACTGATGGGTTTAGTTGTTGCTAAGTAATGTTTACTCCGATCAAGGACTTTCTCAGTCACATCCTCTGCCAGGGAGGAGGGGAAGTCAGAAATAAGCAGAGACAGGACACTTGACCCAAACTAGCCAAAGGAGCATTCCATACCATAGCACATCATGCCCAGTATATAAACTGGGGGGAGTTACCTGGAAAGCTGAGATCACTGCTCAGGTCAGGCTGGGTATCAGTCAGGGGGTGGTGAGCAATTGTATCCTCTCCCCTTATTATTTCCCTTATCATTATTATTATTGGTGGTAGCAATAGTAGTTTTATATTATACCTTAGTTACTGGACTGTTCTTATCTCAACCCTTGGAAGTTACATTCTTTTGATTCTCCTCCCTATCCCTCCGGGAGCAGGAGAGTGAGTGAGCACAGCTGCGTGGTTCTGAGTTGCCAGCTGGACTTAAACCACAACAAAACCCAAATTCTTTCCACATTTAAAAATAGTAACATTAAAGAAATTGTCATTAAAAAAAAATAATTGTAAGTAAATGGAGTAGAGTAACATTGATGCCAGCCTGTGGGCATTCTCCTAGAAAGATGAGTACTTGGTAAGCAGCCACATTCATCTTTTTAAGTATTAAACTCATCAGCATCTCTTCAAAGATACGAGCTGACCTTACTCTGTAAAACCCCACACTCAATCCCTCACCCCCAAAAGCATTATGCTAGTTCTTATCAGCCCTGACACTGCTATTAGGTAATGAATATTTCCTATAGGCGCATGAGTTACAAAAAGGATTAAACCCTTCCCTTCCATGAAAACTTCAAACAGTTCTTCCTTTTTCTAAATACTGGGGCTTGATCTAGAAACATTAGGTGTGCACAGAAGTTGTAAAAGAAGATTTTTGATAGAAACCAGAAAACAATTTCATTTACAATTTTTGGTATTATCCATTTTACACATATCCTACTCCTGTGTGCCTACAGTCACAAAGTTAATGGTATACAGAATTTATATAAATCATTTACTGCTCTTCCCTTACATGAAAAAATGTCGTTAATAGTATCTTAATGCAATAGTGACAGACTCTTGTTTTACAAGATTTGCTTTTACATGGTAACCTCAACGCCACGTTTGTACATATCTAAATTGTTGAAGTCCTACGTAAATTGTTGAAGTCCTACAAAGGTATTCTCCATTTTCAAAAGGTGATTTTGCCCCATGCATTCAGAGTTTCATGTGTATGGTTATTTTTGGACTGCCTTTCATTCACTGAAGTGAATGACTTCTGTGTTTGCTTGCAGCATTTTAAACAACTGGAAAACAAAAGCCTCATGTTTCACACATTTGGATATAAAACCCCTTTATATTTAATTCAGAGTTCTTCAACGTTAATAGGTATCAGCAGCCATTCAAGCAAAGTTTACTTATTTGTCAGGGTGGAGGGAAATGTTTACCCCTTTTTACCTTTCTTATGGGAGGTTTTACAATGAAGTCCTCATATGTATCTTCTGGTTTCACTGTCATAAAACTTTCATGTAAAACGGCAATTTTATTTTCATTGTCCCAACCGGCAGGTCTATAAAAGGAAGGAAAGCTTCGCCTTTCAGTCACAAAAAAAAACACTTCTACAGAGACCATTTATTTACTGCCCTCTACAGGTCAGTCCTAGTTCTCAGCTAAATTCCAAAGATACTAAGAAGCTGGAATGGTATATTCTAAGTAACCTAAGTAATATGCACTAAGTTGGTTTTTTAACTTGGAATTTCAGACTCACATACTAAGCTTCTGAATTACACAAACCATTCAAGTTATTTTTACATGTGTTATACGAAGTATAGTGCTTAACAGCAAACAATCTGAAATCATGCTGCTAATACAATTGACTTACATAAAAACTGCATCCTTTTCTACCACTAAGGCAGGTGTGGTAAAGTGAAAACCATATGTTTTATGTACAATGTACTTGTACAACAGATCAAGGTTCTTTTCCTCCTTAACTGATGTATAAATCAAGGCAGCCCCATCTGATTATTTATTTAAGGAAAATTATGTAAGATACATTTTTTTAAATTATAGTAAGTATTCCAGAAAAGTAGCTAATGGAGATATTAAGACTAGACCTTATTTTGAGAAACAGTTCAAGGCAATAGCTAAAGCCATTTAGCATTCAGGGAGAGGAAGGGGGTATAACAGGATACTTCTCGTTGACATACACGAAGTTACATGCCCTCCCAGACACTTAAATTTGAAAAAGTCAAAAACTTAGGAGACAGTCAACATCTCAGGTTTACATGGAAATTGCAAGTTCTGAGGGGAAAACCAAGAAAAAAAACCCTCATACAACGCAGGACAAATCCATTGTAAAGGAACAAAAGTGCCAAATCCATGTACAATTTAAAACCACCCATCAACAACTTCAAAACAACAAATGCTACATAGTAAATAACTAAACACCAAGCAATCTTGAAGTGCAACTTATCAGATTAATTTTACGTGCAATTTAACATTAAAACATATTTTCTTGCTTCCAGATTACAGCAAATCTCTTCAATACAGGAAAGGATACACTGTAAGCAGAATTTACGAATGTGTAACTGAATGAAGTCGAAGTGTTCTTCTCTGTAATCATGCTCCTTCTCTAGTACACTCACTGCATCGCACTGGCAGAAAGGAAGAGAAAAAAATAAAACCAGAAAACCCAGTCATTTAATTCCAGCACACCCTAAAACATCTTCCTGATTATTACATACACATCACATTTCCTGTGAGCCTTTGATTTTAAAATGCCACCAATAACTCAAAAGAAAAAGTAATTAACATATAATTGATAAGGTTATTACCCTTTTGCAAAATTAAAAATTGACTTTTAAAATAAATCCCTTTACTATTAATCCAAAATTCATTTTGCATATCTGTATAAATCATACTTTCTAGAAGAAAAGTAATTAAACTTTTCCATAGTAGCAAACAGAACCAGAAACTCACTTTTGTACAAACTACTAGCACAGGAATACCAAGGTTGTGAGTCAGCACATTTTCTCCAAGTGGCAAAGTAGTATGTTCATCTTCTCGGCCAGAAGGGCCTCTTCTCTGCGGTGATCCTTGGTAGCCTTCTTCAGGTTCTACATACTCTTGAAACTCCTTCATAACTATCATGAAAGAGATCTTCTTCAGGCACAACAAAGGAGCTAGTTATTTTTAAACCATAATTAAACCATAGCTACCTAGAAATCTCAACTTTTCTTTCCTTTCATAATGAGGCACTCCATGAGAACAGAACACAAGCTCAAGCCCTATGGCCCCTTCAAACAAAACAATTATCCTCCAGCAAAACTTACAGCAAGCTAAATTAAGTGTGTTTATAGCTGCAAGAGCTATAGTATGCACAAATGCACATTCCTCAACATTACTGGGAAGCTGAAAACAGAAAACAGAAAATAGTTTAGCAACATAGCTTATACTCAGTGCAATTTGTACATAGTTTGGGGAGAAAGCATGGTGAAAATGTAAATGGACCTGGAGAACACCAAGCTGAAACATCTACTCTTACAAACTATAACTCAAGTTTCTATTACTCTACATTTCTGTTGCAGGAGTCCAATGCTAGGCATATCAAAATTGCACTGCATAAATACAGACTCAAGCACTTCTAAGTATTATCTGAAAAGACTCATATTCTGAAAGACTACAGTGGAGTCTAGAGGAAACTAGGTGCTTTCTACATTTTCAATGTTTTAATTTTATGGCAACAATGAGTATTCCCTATTGAATATTATCAGATATTAAAGTGCCTAAGAAATGGTATTAACACCATTTTGGAAGCACACTGTGACCCCACACATGCTTTATCAAAACTGGGCTGCAACTTGCAGCCTTTATGTCTTTTTTCAGAGAGAAAGCCACAGACCAGATCAATCTGCCTACTGGATGTGTCTGCTCCCAGCACAGCACTTGCTGAAGGCCCAGGCCTTTCCCTCACATGACAACCCCACATGAAGACTCCTCCTTGCTCAGCCATCAAGAGGCAAGCAAAGCTCCATGATTTGCTCCCATGAAGGAGTCTTTATTTTTGAAACAGTGGAAGCAGGCTGACTTTATGTACAGGAAGGAAAACTCTCCAAAAAAACTCCCAGTCCCCAGCATGGTCACAAAGACAGTGTTGTTCAGTACACCCATCCATGTGACAGGGAAGAAACTATCTCACAGAAAACAAATTTGAAAAATTATCACCAAGTGATGATGTGCCATAAAAATCACACCTCCACTACACTGTACTGATTGATCTACCAGACTTGTGGCTTATCTAAGTAAAAAAGCTTTTTATTCAGAATTTTTCATTTAAAGCAAATGAATGCACCATAGGCATTCAGCTTGGTCCACATAACATAGCTTGCATCTAGAAATAAGTATTAAGGGAACACAGTTCTGCAAGCTGAAGTTAAGAAACATGCATCCATGCGATGCTATGCTGCAGTTACTGGAGTGAATTTAGCACATCTCTCCACTCTGCAAGCCTGTTTCTCTGTTCTGACTGCCCGCTTTGCATATGCTTTATTATCCCAGGGTTTTCATATCCAGGCTATTGCAACACAGTGATTCTCTAAGTGGCAGCTTATCTCAGACAGTGTATGAAGCAGGTTTTTAGCAAAGAAAATTTTGCTTTACTGATGAACTATAGTCACAAGTCATTCTTCAAGCCTGTGTGATTTATATTGTCTAAGCAGTTACACTAATAAAACCACAGTTACAATAGGAATTTCTTTTAGCACAGCTTGCTGTTAAAAGAATTACAAGCTATGGTAGCCAAAGGTTTGAGCACAGATCCAGCCTTAAGGACAGTCTACAAGAAGTCAGAAGACAAATATCTGAAATGACACAAGTGTCCTACACAGTGACTGAGGAAAAGAAGCGAGATGGAAGTTTGGGAGCAAAGACATTAAAGCCAATATTTCACCTGGATGCTGACATTGGACCAAAGTTCACCGCTGAGCCATAAAATGGCAGCAGAGTCCTGCAAGAGTGAGAATTAGCTCTCCAATTTTCCTTTTCCCTCAACTCTTATCGAAGCACAAGAGAAACTAGGAATTTCTACAACACTAATTTAGAAAACTCTAAGACAACAGTACTGAAATGTTTTATAAGTTGCCCAAATACGGTGTAAAAGCTTAGTCATAGCTGTTAACTGCCTCCTTCACACAGTACACTCTTAGTGAAGGCTGAAAACACTCCGCATTTATTTGGATTGCCATAAAATTTGGTGTGCCTCAGAAAAGTGCAAATCAGGTTAGCTGCTGTACTGTGAGACTATAACTGCCTTTCCATCTCCAATTCCCCCAAAATCTCTCGCACACAAAAGGAGAAAAAAAAAAAAAAAGGAAAAAAAAAAGGATGATTTTTCCTCTTAAAATTGTCAGGTTTTACCTTTTTATCTAACCTGGTGATCAAACCCAGGTGGCTTCAGTCATTAAGCTAGCTAACTCTAGCTAGCATGCTGTAGGGGACATAGCAAGCCTTTTGGGAAAGTAAATTTAACATTCAGAGAATATCAGCTACACAAATACATCTGAATGCTCACAGACCAAACAGATTACACTGCTCCCTAAAGTGAATCTAAGAAAGCTACTAGACGGTATTTTCAAGGCTGTAACACTCCAGAGTACAGCCAGCCACCAGCCCTGATCAAAAACAGCAACCAGCAAGGATCAGTCTGAACCTATACTTCAGCTGAGGAGGAATCCACGTGGCTAAGGTCTTTTCCACCAAAGGACTTTATTTTGAAGTAATTCAATATGAAACTAAACAGAAAAATACTCTCAAGAAATATTCAAAACTATTTTAGGAAAGAAAGGAAGAAACAGGAAATAAAAATACTGCAGTGACAACTGCTGGCCAGTGCCAGATTCTTTCCTGCCACATATATGCCAGGAAAGATTTATATAACATTCCTAAAGTCACAGGGTAGGAGACGCTGTAGTGAGAGACAATTAGATGTACCAGGATCACGGTCTGAGCCTTGTGAAAAACAAAGGCAGCGATACCTACTGGAAAACACACACAGTATGGGAATGGGACCTGGCTTAGATACAAAAAAGCAGACAGCTCACTTCGCTACTGAAATTTGTCACTATTTTTAAAAGCATGATTCTGTATGGAGATTGTCATTTTGTTTTTGTTTTTGTTTTTTTTTTTTAATTGGCCTTTATAAAAATCCAATTATCAAAATCTTATTACTGCAAGGGATTTAGACCATTAATTCACCTGATGTTTTGTTAGCACAATGAAACTGGAAGAGCTGTTTTAAAGCCTAATAGAATCTACCTGAATTAAGAGTTGTAATCTCAACTTCAAAGTAATTCTTATCCAACCCATTCTCAAAACAGTAATCTGAAGAAATGTATAATTACAAAAGAAAGTTGCAAGAGCTAGTAAAAAAAAACAAACAAAAAAACCAAAAAAAAACCAACAAACCCCAAAATATAACAACAACAAAAAAAAAACCCACCCAAAAACCCCCCCAAAACCAACAACAAACTAAAAACCAGACTGTATGGATGCACAAAGACTTACACTTCCATTCCATGTCTCTTATCTCTTCTGGAGGAATTTTCATCTTATCAATATGTTCTTGCAAGACATTGGCCCACTTCTGTAAAGACTCCATAACAGTCCAAGGTCTAGACATATCTGCAACAAAGACTACAATGGTGTCTTGCAGCGATTCTGCAGAAATTGCAAACTTCAATAGCCCTTTATGGTATAAGTCTCCATCTAGAATCCAAACATTACAGCGAGTATGATCTGAAAGAGAAAGGTACAGATGTAATTCAAAAGATGCCAACTTTTTTCTTTGCTAGTCTGCAAGTGAACAGAGGAGTACATTAGTGTTAAAAGGAAGGCCAAAACCCAGCTACCAGCAGATCTTGCCTGTTTATTAAGACAGGTGCATGTGTAAATTCAGTAGATGCTTTAGTTTAACAGTATTTTTTTCTTGGTTCAGAATCTTTTTGTTCGGAAAAAAAAAATAAATCTGTTCTTTAGCTTTTACTAAGGACAGCTGGCATGACAGCTTTTAGAAACTGCACAGCATTCCTGAATTTGAAAGATGCATATTACAGGTGAAACCAGAATACATGTGCCATATGTAACTCCAAGTTCCAAAGGTGTGGTTATAGCTGAGTCCAGCAGAGAAACCTTAGATGTCCCTCAGACACATAAGCTGGTTTAACATACTAAAGACATCTCACAACAGAAATAAGCTGCAAACAAGATACAAGCAACAAGAAGCTTAGGCTTCTAGCACTGACCAAACCTTAAAGTTACGCTACCTGCTCTTAATTCACATTGGCCTCTACTTGCAAGCTCCTTACAGAATGAGTACTAGACAAACCATTTGGAATTTTAGTTTTTGTGTTTCTCCCCCCCCCCCCAGTGTTTTGATAGCTATAAAAGAACGGTTTGTGTAGCAATAGCTGAGACACACGCTAGGTGGAGCTATCCCCCATGTCTTCCGGCGCCGGAATAAAGAATACCTGCTTGTCAATTTAAAACTTTTGGCGAGTTTGTTCCTGGAGTTTTCTCCGAATCAACATCAAGCGCCTAGTTAGTCATATGATGTAAACAGTAACTGAACCTTTCATAGTGGCTATGACTGGAGACACCAAAACAGAAGCAGGTGCTACCTATTAAAGACTATTTCAATAACTGCTAAAACAACATCTCTAAACTCTGTCAATATTTCATTACCCCTTTAGCCATGAAAGATTTCCAGCTTTGATGAATTTTACTGCAGAAGGTTGATTCTGTGAACTGCAACAACTCCGGCATTTATTCAAAAGGTATCAGTGGTAATTAGACAACCCTTGTCTAAGCTGTGTATAGAAGCACAACAGGGAAAAATAATTTCCAAGAAAACTACTTTAAAGATGTTGACAAAAAGACAATTTTCCCATTAGAAACCAGTGTATCAGCAGCACTTAGCTCAATCTGGAACAACCAGTTCAACTGGAATATGCATATGACATGACTGAGGCCAGTCCAAATCTGAGGAAAAAGAACACTACTTGATTTTGTTACAAATAAGAACACAACAGAATGGCTCTATTTCAGTGGCACATTTGGCACAGTCAGTACAGCTGTACTGCATCTGTAATCTGAGGCAGTTCAACCCAAAGTTCTCTGCAGTGGTTGGAATTGCCAGCTAACCCACATAGTAATGCTGCAAAACCAGTCAACGTTTGTCTCACTGTCCTGCTGTACATCCTCACTTTAACTACTCTGCATGAAACTCTAAAAGCTGCTCTAGAAACACTGCTTTAAGAAAATTATGCAGAGCCTCTCTTCTACCTCCTACAAATTAAGATTCTCAGCTCTCAAAAGCAGACTTACCAGCATACATACAAAACATCTGCCCATCACAAAGACAGACAAAAAATTAAAACTAGCCACACTCGCTGAGAAAATCCACTAACAGGACTCTTGTGCCTGAGCTGCACAGTTTAACGTTCCCAGTTAACTTTACTGTGTTTTCATCTAGATGAACTATGGTGTCACATAAGCAGAGGAAGCCATATGCTCCAAGGTTATCATGCCTGGGGCTAATGATCTAGGAGAATCATCTCTCAGAACTGCTTCTCAGGCAGTCTTAGCTTGAACAAATGTCTCACCC